AAAAAAAAAAAAAAAAAAAAAAAAAAAAAAATTCACTTTAATGAACATTTCCATGTAAAATGAAGTCAAATGTGAACAAAAAGATCCAAAATTTTAAAAAATTTTCGGGTGAAAAATTATACCAATCAAACACACTTAATTAACAATTCCATGGAAAACAAGTTCTAGGCAATTATTTTCCCTGAAATTTATTTTCATTCCACCCATTTTTCACCATTGCAATCAAACGAACCATAATTATTTCGATATAGACTTGTTATTACTTAATAACACGATCTTAGTTATTACGTAACTAGTATCGATAAATGACATATTAACTGATAATATTTTAATTTTTTTTTCTTTTGATGAGTATGTTTTCTTCGAATTTGGAGATTCGAGGACCAAATTGAGAGTTGCGAATAGTTCACAACGAACATCAGCTCGTGTACAAATGCTTCAATTCTTCTAATGTTGTCATATTATGAGAAAGAAAGAAAGACAAACAAAGCAAAAGAAAATACAAACTTTACCATCTTCGGTAAACTCAATCAACTATATAGAAACCCCTATAAATGAGTATTTTGCATTTATTGCCGGGACTTGAACCCGGGTCTCTCGGGTGAGAGCCGAGTATCCTAACCAACTAGACTACAACGGAATTCTGTTAGATTATTTTATATACATCTAATCTAAAGAAACACTATAAATAACCCTCGAACTGAAGTTAAAAGACATTATTAGTCAATAATTCATAAACTAAGACAAGTTAACTTTAGGTTTTATTTTATATACAAATTCCTCATATTTGAGTTAGAAAAATATTTTTTTAACTACACTTTCGGTTCGTCAATGATCCACTAGTCGAATCAGTGACTCACTAACTCAATACTTCAAGTGGGTGCTAATCGCTCAGTTTCCAAAAACAATATTGCTACATGTACATCAAGTTTGACACTGTTATGAAATGACAATTTTTAATACATTAATTTTAACAACACTCTAAATAACTAATGATTCAAATTTTGACATATTGAGTGTCAAACTTGTTGTACAACAAGCTTAATTCTTCCAAAAATTATATCTACTACGTAGAAGAGTTCAATCCTCATGCCCTTGTTTGGTTCAGTTAAAAAATCTTATTAAAATTTAAATTAAAGTTAATAATTAGTTTTAACCAGTGTTTTAAAATGCGTTGCGATAAGTCAAGGTCGAGAATCAAGAATCACAAGTTTAAGCGTGTCAATGTGAAGAATATACGTCATAATACGTTTCGTACTTTTAATATAATAAATAATCTTTATATTAAAAAAAACAATTTTTTATATCATATCAAAAAATAAAATAAAAAAATTTAGACGTCTCAATGCGCGCATAGGCTCTCTTATGTGCGCATTGGTGCGCATTGAGACGCCTAGGCGGTCAACAAAAATCGTTGACCGCATTTTTACCCACATTGCTCATTTTGACGCATTTTGTTCGCGCGTCGCGCCTAGGCGGCGCATTTGCGCACCTTTTAGAACATGGGTTTTAACAACATATTTCACTAGATCCACTGCTATTCAATCATATATTTCATCAATTTTTATTAAAATTTAGTAAAAATCTTATTTTTATCTAAATCGAAACAGATCATATATATTCATCATTTATTTTTTTATTTTAAAGAAATAATGATATCTTATACTAGGTGTGCTGATTAAGAACGATGCTAGAGGTACAGCCTTAGTTCACGGATTATTTACATATATAAATTTGGCGGCTTATCATTTGT